AGACATTGCTTTCGTTGTCAAACGGACATATTTAATGCAGTTTCTTCTAAATTATTCTTCAACGAAATCTGTTTAGCTGGAAGACTGGCAAGTGTTTGACGAATTGATTGATTTGCCACAACTGAACCTTGTCTATCTCGAGAACAATCCGTTTTCTGAAGCGCAGGATTACAGGTTCACAATTTCTTCAGTTGGTTCATTTCGGATCAATTTATTCCGTTTAGGGCCAAGGCGATTAGGCTTCTACCACAAATTACACGTCTCGACTCAACTCAATGTCGTGATCCATCATTTGTGAAAGCTCCTGTTCTCGTTTAATTCCAAAGATTTTTTCGTGATTGTCTGTAACAGTTTCCTTTTCTTCTTGTTCAATAAAATTGTATGTAAACAGTGGCTTTGATCTGGAAAGAATTTGTTAGTAATAAAGAAAAAAGCTTATGTTTTAACAAGTTGTGTAATTCGCGAGTGTGCATTAATGATAGGATGCTCAAACAGAAAAGCAAATTTGTGTCTCAAGTATCAACCAAAGAAAAAAAACATATTGACATCTTTCGACAGATAAAACAACAATTCCAAGCACTGCGTTCAAAGTTCCATTTACGCTGCTTTTCTCACTGAAATAAGGCCCATTTGAGTTTTGTAAAATTCAATCATGTTTTAGGTCTAGCACAGAGGTTATTCCTTACAATCACGTGTGGTCAGTAGCTTTCGAGACATTCTCCGTAAGGCGTGTGCCGTTGTTCAACCGTTTCGCACTGCTGTTTTAACACTTCTGTACCCCTGCAGTAAGACAATACTATGCGGTTTGGATATAACATTTTGATTAAGAAGCTTGAGAGGAAACAGTGCTCTTTTCTTATTTTGTTGTCTAGCTGCTTGATGTGGTCAAAAACGTTAGGACCAAGGGTTGTGAGTACTCTAGCATAACGATACATACATAACAGTTGTGTCTTATGAAAGATATGTTGGTTATTCAGCGTATCCGAGAACTTTGTCCAAATATCTCACTTGTACAACTGAAGGCTGAGGCCGAGTAAGAGCACTATGTATTCCTACGATCCTCAATATGCTGAATAATTTTACCTTTGCTCCCAAAATCCTATAAAATGCGATCTGGGCAACTAAGTTTGCCAGTCACAAGAGCGCCTTCAGAAAAAAGTTGTAAGGCTCATTGACAACTACTTCAAAATTAAAAAGCAAAAACTCGCTTTGCATTCAAATGCTTTGATTTACAAGACTTTTTAAAAAGCACTGTAGTGCAAATTATCGATGAAAAATCAGCTCGCTTTCATTACAAAACGATTAGTAAGAAATTACAGATTGCCCAAATAACAGATATTGTAAAAATGTAAGATAACGGTGGAAGACGCTTGATTTTCGAATCCCGGAATAATTTCGAATAAGAAATGCAATGAGACAACGCCGTTAGTGCGTTTGAGCAAATGTTTGTCAATGTGCATTTCTCAGTTCATTACGGAAGAAACAGAGTAGTTACCAAGGTTACTTGTCAAATTAGTGTAAATGACAGGTGCTTCACTAAAATGGTACGATGCTGATGAATATCAGCCATAATGCTACGTACCGATTCTTCAACGAAAACATTCCTCTCTACCTGCTTTAGCACGCTGATGCAGTCCTCATGTTCTGTAGAAGGGTATGCTTGTTTGAGCACATGAATGTTATCTTGAATAGAAGATTTTCCAGAAGACAATGGACATTGCAGTAACTGCTATAAAGCAGCCTCTAGGTTAAAGTGGTAATGCTAATGAAGTTACCCTGCCCTAAAATTCCCCTCACCCTTGAGAGCTCCACAAGTTTTGGCCAAAGGAAACTCATAAATGTGCATATGCGAGAATTATGTTAGAGCAACAACCTTCAACGTGAAGCTTGGATTCTATACCTTTAGGTACTTTTAGTACCTAACCCCACCCCTTTCTCCCTCCAATGTATCGCGAAACAATCATGCTTGACATCGTTTGAATGAATTTGGGGCTTTCCAGCGTAGGCAGTTTCGACAGGCTATAGGAAAAATAAAACCACATTACTTCCTTCAGATCATCGTTTCGAAGATAGAGAAGACAAATATGAGATCAGAGATCGTTCTATTTAGGAAGGGGATGTATAGAGCAGGATAGCAGCAAAAGAGGGAACCATAGCAGAATATATTTTTGTGATACGTATAGTCATCCCAAATAACTCAACTTTGCCATTCTAGTTCACCAAGTATTTGCATTTTTTGTCTATTTCAACTCTTTCAATACAGCCGGATGTGATAGTTCTCTACCCTACTAAACTACTTGAATTGTCAACACTAGCTTGTTGTTCGATTTCTAGAACCGCCTCATCAAAGCATATTCAACTAATTGCTGCACCTAACTATATTTTCTTACCGCTAACTAGTAACATATTAGAACTAGGCAATCAAGGCGAGATAAATGTCAGGCAAAAGCAACCAGACTGTGCGCATTAATGTTCTGTTTATAGCTGAAAGAACACTTTCGTGTAGGTAATCAGCAGCATATAATCAAATTACTACAGGCTCATGTCCTTCTCGCCGAGTGGAAGAGGTAGATCTCGATATACGTTTGCAACTTATCGGCACCCCTACCACTTTTACGGTATTTCCTTTTAGACCTAAGTGAAGAGACCCTCTTGATTAAGCTTAAAATGCTTCAAGTTCAGAATGAGTATTCTTTATTGAGTATTTTTCGGAAATTGTCGCCCTTCACTATACCAACGCAGGATAGCCGGTAGCGGCTGATGTGATTACTGAAAATCTTGGATTTTGATAAGATCCATACTTTGCATGATTTATTCTATGAGCGCCGTAGGCTTTTGTACGCTAACTATTGATTTATGCGTGCATTAGTTTCTGTAAATAGTTACATAAAATAGCAGGCCCACAGGCTTGAGTCCGCGGGAGCGGATAGAAGGAAAACCTCCAAAAAGGTCAGAATTTTTCGCACTTCCACTTTCTCTCTTTTCTTTTATAGTGTACATCAATCATTTTCTTGAGCATTTCCAACAATTTCAATAGTAGAGGCGGGGTTTAATGACAGCGAAAGCCTCCAAAAGTAGAAAGTTTGGTTTGTAAGTTAGAGACTCAAACGGGCAGCCAGCTACTTTAAAATGAACCACCAGACAGGTATCCAGCATCGAATGACTTGGACCAATGCAGGTAATCCTTTTCACCAGAATTAAAATTACGTACAGCTTTGCACCGTAAGTCTATAGTGTAGAAGAGACAAAAGATAAGCCTACGAACGGAAATCCATGTTTTAGCAAGCCTCCTAGAATGGTTTCTCGCACATAAGTATGTGTGCGAAATATTCTGTGCGTGGTAGCACTGATCATTTTATCATTGAAGCATAATAAGTTTAGCTGCTGCACACCAAATTAACTATTGCGTAAGAATGGGAGTGAACGGGAAGTTCACATCACATGCAAAATCCAGTGTTGACCAATAACTGACTTTCTAACAGCTGAAATTCTTGAGAGATGAGCAAGAGTGTCATAGTTTATTTTGGCTGATGTTTTGCGTCTCCGCGTTAGAGCTTGGAAAGTCAAAACAACATACAATTCTTCTTCCAAGCGCTCAATCTCGCCGCAGGAATACAGCCTAGAAGGTGTCAGGCCAGGGACAGCTATAGAGAAACATCAGGTCAACGCTCATCTATTGCTTATTAGGCTTGCTTGAACGATAGGCTTGAACGATAGCGCATCTTATTTTGAAGCTGCACCTCTTGATAACTAACTATCAGTGTGCATGTTTCCACCCGAGCTGCTATGAGCCCAACTCCATAGGACAAAGCTCGAGAGGACTTGATGCGGTGCTAGCCTGTTGTCTAAAGCGATGCATTCTTTCCTCCTTTCCATTATTTGATTTCGCATCTAGAGCGCCTCGAGAGTCCTATAACCGATTATGTTGGGCTCGCACATCAAAATGTAGCAGTCATGCATAAGCATTTCTATGAACTTGTCACTAGCCACCAGATTGGCATTGGTAGGCCACCCCGTACT